ATACACAGACAACCCCGTGACAATATGCGTTTTGTACTGCTGTTACACAGCACAAAACGCATAAAAGTGGTTAACGCACCATTATTTTTGCACATGGCCCGCTGTATTGGCAAAAACTGAAATGCGGGTTGGTAAATGGGTGATGTGTGGTTTAAGTCCAGCTTCTGGACTTATCGCGATTTGAACTTGAACGTGAAATTCTGATGAAAAAGAGGGCGCTTGTTGTGGTTGCTAGCAACCGTATTTCTGTTTCAGCAGCGAAGCATCCTCACCTACCTCTATTAAATTTCGTTGATTTCCTTTGCAGGAGATTTGAATTCCTCAAAAATCCATTTCTTTTTTTGCGTCCTGCATATATTTTGTTTTTGTTTTTTTGAAACTTATTTTGTGAACCTGCGATCTACTTGCCATCCTATTTTTAGTTGACGATGGGGAATTTTCTATCTGTAAAGTTGGATATTTCCTGGCGTGCATACTGCCATGATTCATGCAGCTAAGGGGATTTCAGTGTCTATCTAAACCAAATCAAAGCACATTTTGCAGTATAGGGTTTAAAATTTGAAAAACTTATAAGTTTGGCTTATAATTGTATCAGTTTCCTGGATAAGTGATTTACGAAAAGTGTTCTTTACTTAAATATAAATATATTTAGCTAGGTGAATGGCACAGCGCAACCGAAGAACTTGCACTACTGAAACCATCTGAGAAGGAATCACCAAATGATGACACTCTGGAGAACAGGACGTTACGTATTGCTGTTTACGTGGTTCGCGTTTTTTAAACTTAGCCGTTTTCGTGTATCTTTGCTGATCCATAAAAATCCGCATTTATTCTTTTCGATGGTAATTTGATACCGGTATGTGATAGAGGAAAAAACCCCACCAAAACTTGCTTAACAGGTCTCGAAAGAGGAACCATCGCGACAGCCTTGCAAGCAGATTGCTACTACTGGCATATGCTATTACCCGGGTTGCTTTCGGGAGCCATTGCCTCTAGTAAGTTCAGCAAGGGTGTTGACTTAAATTGTTCTAAAATGTAATTACTTTACAAACCTTTGGATGAATACATAAAACCCAGGCTGGATTGCACCAGGCTTTCTGGTGCGATCATGCGTTTTTGCACCAAACTTGAAGTACTCAGGTCATTAACTGCACGAGGCTGCTGCTGTACACTTGCCTTCGGCGTTCACCGGCGTAAACATCATAAATTTTTCATAAAAGAAATTAGCGATCACCGTTTAACGGTCGTTCTTTGAAAATGACCTGACTATTCCAACTGTTCATTGGGCAGTTTTCCCGCCAGGGATTTCATGTACCCGACGTGAGAACCACGAGCAACTAGGGGCTGAATTTGAAATCTTTAGCTCACACATTTATAGGGAGTATTCCTGCTAAGTTTCAGCTCTCTGTCTTTTCTGGGGTCGCCTTCCCGCCGAAAATTTGTATATTTTTTAAGGCGTCTGTAGCGGCACCCAGGCGTACATGGGTGATAATATTAAAACGGGAGGATCGCACATGGTGTAGGCACATACTTCTGAAGCTTCTACCATTTCTCGTTCTCGAATTGAAATTGGGCGAAAAAAACTGTGAACACACAGACAGCCTCTTGTTAATATGCGTTTTTGCATTTGCATATGTAGAAAAACGCGTAACGAGCGTTTTAGTTTTAGGTTATTCGCTAGAAATGAATGAGTTAGGTGCTTTGCTGATGACTTTGAGCTTTTGAATATATGCTTAAGTTTGCAGGAGCAGCCTTTTGTTATGCTAAAGGAGAATTTAAATGATAGCGTGGATGAGAATGATCGATACACGGGCTACTGCATTGAACTGCTTGAAAAAATCGCTGAACTGCAGAAGTTCAAGTACATACTGCACGAGGTGAAGGATAAAACGTACGGCTCAAAGATGAGCAATGGCAAATGGAACGGACTTGTTGGAGAGCTCATGAGCGGGGTTCGTCATTTTTTTCTGTTTAAGATTTTACTGTATTGCTAATACTACTTTAAACGGCACAAGTTTCTGTGAAATCATCTGGTCTTGCTAGGGTGTTTCCGATCGGGCATTTTTTCTTACGAAGAAACTCAGGAGAAATTCTGATTTTATTTTACATCCCAAAATTCTGATTTTTTTTTTATTTTTTTCCACATATACATATAAGTAAATGACGAACATTAGCTCTAGTGTCTTGATGTTTACTTTATGATTTAATATAGTAGTATTGCGAACACTTTCACATTTTTCAATTTCGCCAGTCTTTTTACATTCACACCGACGTACATTTGTTATTGGCGTATTATCAAAGCCAGCTTTTTCTTTTTTGTACATGCAATAGAAATATTCACTTCGGATGCATTAACTTTACAAGCTTCTTCATGCATGTAAATTTCAATAGCCTTTTTTTAGTTGATGCTGCCGGTTTGCTCACACCGATTAGTTTCGACAGGATACGCATATATAACTAATAAAATGCCTCTAGCAGCTTTTTTACCTGCATCAAATCTTCCTTATTGTTTCCATTTTTTGCGTTGCTGCAGCCATAGTTATGGTGTATTTCCGTGCAAAAAAAAAAAAAAAAATGATTTTGAAGAATAAGGGAATGTTTCAGGAAGCGGATATAGCAGTAACATCGCTAACAATCAGCTACAGTCGTAGTGAAGTGATCGATTTCACTGTTCCTTACATGCATCTTGGCATTTCAATACTGTATAAGAAGCCAGCTGCTTCAGAGCCGAACTTCTTTGCTTTCCTGGCTCCGTTAAGTTCCGACGTATGGTACAGCACTCTGGCAGCTTATTTGCTAACATCGTTATCACTGTGGCTTCTTGGACTGATTACCCCGTATGAGCGAGTTGGACTGGTCGGCAAGGATGCTATCATTGTGCCCAAACAGTTTAATCTTTCGAAC